AGGAGCATAATACATTTCTGGTACTTCAAGGGTTGCTTTTCTGTACTTGCAACATGTCTAAAGGGAAACAAACATGGGGGAAATGTGCATGTATTGCAGAGATGTACTAAATATCTTGTTATTTTTATATTGCATTGACATACACTTTAATGGTCACCCGAAGTGGCTGTGTTTAGGGACCTAGCCACATACACATATGCTTGTGGGCAGCTAGAATGTATATGCATGTCTGATCACCGCCTCATATCAATGACCGGTTTTACATCACCCATAGAAATAAGGTGATATCACCATTCTTTGTGGGTAGCAGCACACTCCTTCACTCATGGTAACTAGTAGTAGGGATTGAGCAGACGTCATGATCGGCTTCTCTTCAGCTCCACCCTCCCTGGCCAGAAAAATCCATGTTCTTACTATCCCAGCGTGTATGTTTATATGGTTTTAGACCTTATGGCTAAGGCCAGCTTAACACCAGAGATACATACAGGTACAGGAAAAAAACATTTAGAATCACCTAACAATAGATACCTTTCACAAAGTAACAATAGGGCCAAAGTTACTCTTCAGAACAGCTTCAAACCTACTTGAAATGCTGTTTTGCAACTCATGAAATGTGTTTTAGTAGGACTTTGCATCATTTCTTGGAGGAAACCAAGTAGTTTAAAAACTTTTTTATACAATGCATTCTATGAAATCCCAAGTAGATTTAATTATGTTCACACCTAGTGGCTGGCAAAGCCTTGGAGAGCATTTGACTTTATCCAGCTAAGGACACACTTTTTTGTGTCATAACTGGATCACAGAGATGCCGGTTTACTTTTGTGATTATTTTGGAACCTGTACTTTCATGTCATTGAGAAAACATTTTAATTAAAACTTCACTGATCTACTACCTAGTTACTATTTGTGAAGCCTAAACTGGTGACACTACAAAAGGAAATTATTGGGCAAGGTTAGCCCTATGCTACCTACAAACATTCAAAACGTGCTTCAAATCTGATCCATCAGAGCAACATTTACCAACAATCATGTTGTATGAGGATCTATTTGACTGAATTGATTAAAGTAAAACTAAAGAAAAATCCTTTTTTCAGTTGTAGATAAGAGTGGAGAGGGATTAGAACACCTGTCAGGTTTATATTGCTGTTTGTATCTTCATTAAGGTGGCCATACACCTTACAACCATCGCAAAACTTTCATCTTACGATGGTTGTAAGCTAATTAAAAGTGCGAACCATCTGCCCATCTTGGACAGGCAGATCGTACTTGCGATTATCGCAAGCCCACCCCGCTTGCGATGCTTCCCATGACCGCAATGAACAGGCAGTGTGCGCGTGTGCACAGCGGCCTGTTCCGCAGTTGTCGAACGAGCACGCCACTAACCTGCCTACAATCGTACGATTCTCGGCTGGTTTTCCATCCTGCTCGTTCAACAAAAGACGTGCGACCGGACAGTAGAAACGGTCGCACGCCTTCCATACACCTGCCGATTATAGTACGATCGTGGGATTTCCCGCGATTATCGTACGATAATTGCAAGGTGTATGGGGACCTTTAGGGAGTGTAAACTTCTCTATTTGTTCTGGTGACCATTAAAAGTCAAAATGAAAGTAAAAGAAAAGCAAAATTTTGAGTTGTCACCAACTTCCAATGGGGTAACTAGCTCTGGTGACTGGAGGCAGGCAGGGGACTTCCCCCACTTTGGAAGGATTTCCTCTCATTTCCTGTTGTGGCTAAAAGACAGGCAGTAAAAAGAAATGTTCCCAATGGGATACAGATGGTAAATAAAATGACAAGGGTTATAACTCTTTCTCTATCCAAAATAAACTATTTTGGCTTTCATTTCACTTTACGTAAACCCTGCTCACTACATAGCCGTTCGGTACATTTTGTGAATCTCACAGATCTTAGGTCATCCACTAAATGACTCTCGTAAATTAGACATCTTCTACAAGTAGCTATATAAGAATCAGAGTTTCCTGTCTGCAGCTTTGCTGACATATGACTACAGGAGATCTAAAAGAATGTCTGAGATTTCGAACTTGTTTTCTTATCCTTTGAAATCTCTGCTGAGCATCCACAAAAAGACGCAGCGTAACGATTCACCTTCTAAGTGGAACAAATCCTCAGGTGACTGCTTCACTGACCTTAAATGATCCTTTAGAGATACCTACTGTATTCTGGTTAAATATTTTCACAATACAGTATAAGACTTTAACAAGGCTAAGCCTCTAACAACCACATCTATTAGCACAGGGCTTTGTCTCTGTGTTATACATCAAAACACAGAAGAAATTCCATTTCTAGTTTCTAATGTATTTGATCACAAGCATAACATCAGCAGTCAAGCCAAGAGCAAAACACAGACCTTCTAAAATTCAATCTATCTAGTCTAGATGGCAACTCCAGATCTCCCCTATCTAGACCAATGCAATATATACAGTCTCTCAATCTCTTTCGGCTAGTCTGTCATTTAGTGTAGTTGCTCGGTATAACTGTGGGAGGAAACCATAGCAATTGGAGCAAACTCACAAACACGGAGAGAACTCAATAGGTTCCTGTCAGGGCTGTATAGTGTCCTTGGTAGGTATTAAACCCAAACCCACAACCACAAGACAAGAGTGCTGAGCACCTAGTCATTGTTTTTCCAGGCAATTCCTGGAAAAATACAGCCTTTCATAAAGTTGACCTTGCATGACAATGCGTAGTGCTGGAGTATATTTTCTCAGCATTTGGAATATTCAACGTTCCCTAAAGGCAGCAGTATGATAAAGTCATGTCACTGGTGGTGACAGGACACGCCCGGAACTAAGGAGAGTATTTTTTTTTTTTTTTTTACATTTTCCTTGTAATAGGTTGTTTTTAGCTTGCAAGTAAGATTGTTTTATTCAAAGGTGGCAAGCTCAGTAACAAGAGGATTTTGCATTTTAAGGTTTACTTTAAATATTTAAAAAAATCAATCTGGTAGCATGGGATTAAAGAAGTTTGGGCAGAAATTGTATTAACTCTTGCAGACGGGCTACTGCTTGTTTTCATCTAGGGTCCAAAAAAAAAATCAGTTATAAACTTAGTTTAAAAAGTTCTACTCACCCAAACCATGGAGGTGGCAAAGCTCCCTTCAGCCTGTCTCCTCCTCTGCTGCAGCGATAGTATGTATCTCAGCATCTTCACGTTCAATACACTGTATTGGACATGATGACTCGAGGATTCCTAGACCACTGCAAAGGACCCATCCTTTGCAGATGTTGTAGGGACCGGTCTAAAAGGCTGCCGGCTCAGTGGTTTAGGTGAGTATATATATATTTTTTTCCCCTAGGCAATAAGCAGCAGTTACCCCCCCTGCAAGGGATAATAACATTTCTGCCCGGAGTTCTTTAATACTATGCTAATAGCCAGTAACCAGATGCACAACCTTTAGCTACATTAACTGACTAAGCACTTGCTGTGGGTGTCAGTCTGAAATTGGTGCAGATAATTGTTGGCAGGCTCCTTTGTTCAGATCATTTAACGCAATACAATTTGTATGTTTTCTAGCACTAAAGGTTTTGCCAACATCTCATTGGATTCAGCTCAGGATTTTGACTAGACCTTTCCATAACTTATCTTGCTGCTCAGCCCAGCTGTGCTTCAGACTCCGCTCCAGGGCTCATAGCCATATCCAGATACAAGAAGGAAATAATTGTTTTTCCAATAAAAATCTCAAGACAGTGAGGTAGCGTGGAGGCAGAATGTCACAGACATAACACTACCACCATTCTCAAAGTGTATCTAAACCCAAAAATAAAAAATGTAATGTATTGCAGCTTACCAGTCCTGGAATAGCTGCAGCACTGGAATAGATGCATTACATTTAAAGCTGCAATACATCAAATGTAATGTATTGCAGCTCACCAGTCCTTAGTTACCTTTATCCTGCATTATTTTCCTTTTGCATCCTTTATTTTCATCCAGTGATCCTGCCATTAACACACATCCTGTCCTAATTGCTTTGCCTTAAAAGTTTTTTGATTAATCAGTTCAAAGAATATTTCTTCTTGGTGTCTTAAAAGATTTTTTTTAGATGTTTTGAAGAATTCTAGAAACGCTTTCATTTTCTTCTTTTTTAGTGATGGTTTCTATCTTGCCAGCATTTACAAATGTTGTGCAAAATCTTTCTTAGGCTTTCAATATGAGCACTGTAGGTGGGGCAAGAAAGGCCAACAGTTATTTGTACCTTTCTGGTAGAAAGATCTCTACTTGCAATTAGAATAACCACTGTTAACGTCCTCTTATGATGTTTGCATTATGATGAGTTTTTATTATTTATGGCTTTACCTAGGGTAGCTCTGCCAAGTAACAAGGTTAAGGGAATTTTCTCCAGAGACTTTTATAAATCTCCCCTGAGGTTGGCACAATGTATTTCTATATATCTCTGTTTCGCTAATTTAACTTTAGCTGACAAGGGTCTAATTAAATGAAAATATATTGAATATATTAGACTGCCCTAATCAGGCCTAACTATATTAAAATAGTTGATATAAATAACCCCTACTTACGATTATTGCATTTAGAGGTAATCATTTTCACAGGTATGCAGGGAAATCATCATCTTACAGACCAAGAAAAAGTAAAATATAACTATTTTCTATTGTGAGGGTGTGTGAAAAGTGCTGTGCTTCCATCCTCCTCAGCTCTAAAGCTACGTTTTTATAACCCTAAAACTGGTGCAAGATCATTTTCTAGGGTGCAAATTTAGACTAAAGTATGAAGATTTGGATAAAACATTGAATAATCATGTAACTACAATACAACATGAATGATTTTTAGGCTAACCCTTGCTTAATGTGTACAACAGAATGTGTTACATAAAACAGTGTTTAAATATCAGAGATGTGTATACACTAGAATGGCCAGACTGATATGCTAAGTCATTAAAAAGTAACATATTAAGTAACACAAGCAGACCTGGCATTGTTATTAGGAATTCTTACGCAATCCTATTTTGTGCAATGGTATATTACCTTGTGGTAGAGTCTGGCAGCTAAACCACGCTGTAGCACCCTCTCCCGAAAATTGACGGCTTTTAAGAAGAACACCAAGCTGCTGATCTTATCTGAACTGAATGCCAAGAAGCTATGAGAGAAAAGTATGCAACAAGACCATGCATTAATATACATGAATTGTAAGTCAATGCTTTTATATAGATTCATAAATACATTTCCCTATGCAATCTTCTACAGGACCTCTGCAAAGCAAATGACTACTAATTGAGATACTATGTATACCAATAAACCAATGCTATAGCTGTGCAAATGTGTGTGTCATTTATGTTGCTCATAGTAATGAGAGTCTGTCCACACTAGTTATTAAATGGTAGAAAATACTTCTTACTTTTCACATGTAATTAAATACGCTGTTTTTTTCACTTCCATTTTAACTTTAACTGCTGTGCCTTTCTACATAATGGAAAACCTTTGGCATGTGCTGTAGGCCACAATGCTTTCCCTTTTGCGTGAAGACAATACAATCAGGACAATTCAAGCTTTATATGCAACACTATCTTTAATTTACTTTGAAAAGAAGTTAAAGTGGTTTTGTACATATTTTCTCTATTAACTTATGGTCAGGACTAAAACACTAAAACAATAAATGTAAAAAAATATTTTTGTTTTAGCCATTTAAATATGAAATATCACATGTTACAGTAACTGCACAAGTCTAAATTAATACATTCCTATCATGAATACATTCCTATCACAAAATACAGCAACAGTATAAAGTGGTACACTTTATCAATAAAATGCATTCCATGTACATCAGTCAAGTGACTGACATATAGCAAATATATACTCATATATATGACATATAGCAAAAGGATGATTTGGGTGCAGGTTTGCCAGGAGGCAGCCCATTCCTCCTTAAAAGGTACAGGGCCACACCAGAAGCCCCACACATCCCAATAGCAGCTGAATCCCCCAGCATGTCCCCGCACCAGATCCAACAAGTGAAACAAATGGCAAATGCACTCATCAATTTATAACCAGCTTTTAAAGTAAGGTGCACATGGAAGGGTTTTACACAGTACAAAAATTACACTGTCTATTCTATTAGGGTTAAAAACAGAGGTTTTATTTACACAACTTTTGCAAAATATGTGGAATCCACACTGAATGTCAAACTTACTTTGCTATATATGATATATATATCTATATATAGATATAGATACACACACTATATTGCCAAAAGTATTGGGACGCCTTCCACGCACAAACTTTAATGGCATCCCAGTCTTAGTCCGTAGGGTTCAATATTGAGTTGGCCCACCCTTTGCAGCAATAACAGCTTCAACTCTTCTGGGAAGGCATCCACAAGGTTTAGGAGTGTGTCTATGGGAATGTTTGACCATTCTTCCAGAAGCGCATTTGTGAGGTCAGGTACTGATGTTGGACGAGAAGGCCGGGCTCGCAGTCTCTGCTCTAATTCATCCCACAGGTGTTCTATTGGGTTGAGGTCAGGACTCTGTGGGGGCCAGTCAACTTTATCCACCCCAAAGTCGCTCATCCATGTCTTTATGGACCTTGCTTTGTGCACTGGTGCGCTGTCATGTTAGAACAGGAAGGGGCCATCCCCAAACTGTTCCCACAAATTTGGGAGCATGACATTGTCCAAGATGTCTTGGTATGCTGATGCCTTAGGAGTTCCCTTTACTGGAACCAACCCCTGTAAAAAAAAACCCACACCATAATCCACTCTCCACCAAACTTTACACTTGGCACAATGCGGTCAGGCAAGTACTGTTCTCCTGGCAACCACCAAACCCAGACATGTCTATCGGAATGCCAGACAGAGAAGTGTGATTTGTCACTCCAGAGAACACGTCTCCACTTCTCTAGAGTCCAGTGGCAGCGTGTTTACACCACTGCATCCGACCCTTTGCATTGCACTTGGTGATGTAAGGCTTGGATAGGTGAGGAGTACGAAGACAAGTGTGTCTTGCCTACAGTCAAGCATGGTGGTGAGAGTGTCATGGTCTGTGGCTGCATGAGTGCTGCCGGTACTGTGGAGCTACACTTCATTGAGGGAACCATGAATGCCAACATGTACTGTGACATACTGAAGCAGACCATGATCCTTCGGAGACTGGGTCGCAGGGCAGTATTCCAACATGATAACGACCCCAAACACACCTCCAAGACGACCACTGCCTTGCTAAAGAAGCTGAGGGTAAAGGTGATGGACTGGCCAAGCATGTCTCCAGACCTAAACCCTATTGAGCATCTGTGGGGCATCCTCAAACGGAAGGTGGAGGAGCGCAAGGTCTCAAACATCCACCAGCTCCGTGATGTCATCATGGAGGAGTGGAAGAGGACTCCAGTGGCAACCTGTGAAGCTCTGGTGTACTCCATGCTCCATGAAGGATCACATCTTTGCCCTTGAAGTTAAGCAAGTTCGCAAAAAATATTTATGGTGGAGCACCTGGTAGAGGTGGCCTAGGAGAGTGACGATAGGCCCATTCTACTATGGAGGTAGAAAGAAAAAACTTCTCTCCGCTATAGGTTTCAATAAGCAGAAAATGTTGCTTCTCCGCATTCTGTTCTCCAAGTCATCCTGGCATTGGAGGATAGATTGCAATTGTTGTTGCTGCAAAGAGTACTGTAAAGAAGAAGTTGTTTCTCCATGGTGCTTCACACTGTCTATTAGGGCTTAAAAACAGAGATTTTATTTGCACAACTTTTTCAAAATATGTGGAAGCCACAAGAGGCAACTTTCAAGCTGGAAGTTTTTGTGCCAAAATAAAGATAGCAGTGGCTCTATTTCGGATAAGGGATAACCATACGGCTTATCGCCAGCACAAACAGCTGTGTACAGCACTTAGGTATTTGAAGCCATATCCATCTGTCAGAGCATATTTACAATAAACAACAAAACTGGAGGAGGTGAAGGTGGACATTTTGCTTGTTTGACAAGATTTTCAAATGATGATACAGAGATTAACGGAAGCAGAAACTAGACTCAGCAACATGGAGAAACAACTTCTACTTTACAATACACTTTGCAGCAACAAGAATTGCAATATGTCCCCCAATGCCAAAATTACCTGGAGAACAGACTGTAGAGAAGCATAATTTTCTCCTTATTGAAACCTATAGCAGAGAAGCAATTTTTCTACCTCATCATCGTAGAATTGTCATTGTCATGTAGAATGGGCCCATTGTCTCTCTCCTAGGCCACCTCTACCAGGTGCTCCACTATAAACATTTTTAGCGAAGTTGCTTAACTTCAAGAGCAAAGATGTGATCCTTCATCTTGCCTAGGATAAAGGTAACTTCCCTTAGAAGAATACAACAATATCTATATTTCCCAATTTCTCCACAGAAATTTGAGATGCAACAACTGCAAGTCCTCCACGTAAAGTATGCCATGCTTTACACATGGAGACTTTGCACTGCGGATGACCATTCCAGAAGATGTCTTTCAATGGATAGAACATAAATACTTATCCTTGTTGCACTCCTTACTGAAAGTCCCTTGTAATAGGGTGTGCTCGCAATGACTGTGGATGGTGCCGCAAATATCAGCAAATTGTAGAATATGTCACCAGCACACCAGTCCTCTTAGGATAGCCAAAGCTAGTAAGATACTTACACGTCCACGACGCCAGAGCGGTGGCCGGCGCTGCCCACTCCCTCAGCGTCGCACCTCCTCAGCTGTCAGAATAAAGCCGGGGATTTGAAATGCTCGGCGTCTTAGTGTACGTTAATTGAAGAAATAGGTCACCAGCACTCAAAGAGTTTACAAATGAATAAGTCCTTTTTATTGGACAATGGTGTCACGACAATCAAAAAGAGCCGACATTTCAGGGCCACGCAGGGTCCCTTTCTCAAGGCAAAAGATGTGACCGGGAGAAAGGGACCCTGCGTGGCCCCGAAACGACGGCTCTTTTTGATTGTCGTGACACCATTGTCCAATAAAAAGGACTTATTAATTTTTAAACTCTTTGAGTGCTGGTGACCTATTTCTTCAATTGTTCGTTTTGCACGGTGCCATCCGTGGAGTTACTACAAGCACCATCTTCGTGTATTGGCCGGGACTGCTGAAAGGTGTGCGGAGAGCACCCTCACCTTAGTGTACGTTAAGACGCTGAGCATTTCCCCGCCTGCTGTCTCTTCCGTTTGCAGAGTGTGAGTCACTGCTCTGCTCTTCCCTCGGCACGAACAGCTCTCTTCTTTGCTCTGCCTCCTCCCCCAGTGTGATCTGCCCTTGCTGGCAGTACTGCAGTCTGTGATCCCAGTGTAACAAGAGACTGTCTCCTATTGCCTATGAGCCTCCCAACGAATCCTCTAATGCCTAATATCAACTCCGCTGGATTACTAACCCTCATCATCCGACTCCTGCTCTTCTTAAAGGTACGGTACTTCTCAAGGCAAAGAGTACCAGTATCTGCTTGCCAGTGATCCCAAAGAGTCCACTTGTGCTTCCAGGACTCTCTCTCTCTGTCGAACCTCGGAGGGTACCCTAGAGGTGACAACACAACCAACTGCAAGTATCCTTAAAATTTTCCTTGTAATAAACTTTGCTCACACAATACCTTGCACAGACGGAGCCGGCCGACATTGACTTTTATTTCAGAATGTTTTGTGACATTACCTGTATGAAGAAATACAGATATAATTGTAATCCCTATTATTTCCTTTGAATTCGCTGGACTAGAATGATTATTGTGACTCAGTCACATCCAGAAATAACCTATTATCTGCAGCTGAGATCCATTTATGAACGTGTAAGTTTACTGTTACTGATCTAAAATTGCTAAGGGTTACAAAGCTCCAATTATTGAAGTTCTTTGCCATATGAACAAGTGCTTTCTGGACCACACAGGGTCCCTTCATCAGGCTTTAGCATTGACGTCAATGCTAAAGCCTGATGAAGGGACCCTGTGTGGTCCCGAAAAGCACTTGTTCATATGACAAAGAACTTCAATAAATTAAGCTTTTGCTAGCCTAAAAGGACTGGTGTGCTGGTGAGATTTCTACAATTCAATGGATAGAACAACGCAACACCCATTGAGATGATACCAACTAACAGTTTTATCTGTCTGTATGCCATGTGAGTATTTTTTTATTTATTTTGTA